CATTCAATATTATTTTGTATTAGTTTCAGGTGTACAGCATAATGGTTAGACAATCGTATACTTTACAAAGCGGTCCCCTCTATATTTCAAGTACCTACCTGGCACTATACACATAGTTATGACAATATTACTGACTCTATTCCCTGGGCTGTACTTTACATCCCTGTGACTATTTTGTGACTACCAATTTGTACTTTTTAATCCCATCACTATTTTTAACCAAGCCCTCCAATCCTCTATATACTGTATTCATACAATAAAATGAGCTAGAGAAAAGAAAATGTTATTGTGAAAGTCCAAATCCATGTTGTTCAAGGGTCAATATTTTATCACAATAAAAAAGGGGAAAATTACATTCAGAACATCACCTATTGCTTACTTTCTTATAGCTCTTTTAATATTCATAATCTAATATCAATACAGCCTAGATGTCTCTCTAATATAGAACTATATTGTACAGAAGTAGAGGGCATATCTCTGGTTGTGTAATTAACTAAGAATTCATGGGACCCTGCATTTAAATGGAGGTTTCCGAACTTAGGTTTTGTGTTCTTTCTGGAGAAGAATCCTCACTGAATGTTGACTCAAACAGAGCAAGAATGGATTTCTTGAAAACCTTTTTAAAGTTCTCCCCTATAAACAGGTAGAGTATGGGAGAAAAGACAGCGTTGAAAGAAGTGGTAATCACTGCAAGTAACAAAATCAACTGTAAAAGTAGAGATTGGTTCTTAGTGAGAAGTAAGCTGCCCCTATATACATAGTAGGGCATCCAACACACAAAGAAAGAGATAATGGCCGTCATCATGACTTTGAAAGGCTTGTTGGATTTAAACAGGCTCCTCTTTTTCATCTTGTTGGCTATTCTTCCGTAACAAAAGGTGATGATGCAGAAAGGCAGAAGGAAGCCTAGCAAGAAGCGGCTGGTGAAACAGGCTACATGAATCCATTTTTTGCTTTCCCAGTTAGTGGACACATCATAGCTATGTTGGCAGGTCACCTTTCCTTCATGGTCATCATATGTCTCCCTGAAAACCAAATAGGGCGTGCTGAGGACAGTGGCAGAGATCCAGATTCCCAGGATTATGATGGAAGCCCAGCGTGGGGTTCGGTGCAGCTGTGACCACACCGGGTGAAGAGTGAAAAGGTACCGATCAACACTGATGGCTGAGAGGAAGAAACTGGAGGCGAATATCCCCATATATAAAATGCTGTTGAGGACCTTGCACATGACAGTTCCAAAGCTCCAGTGATTGTCCTGAAGGTAGGAGGTGGTTATAAATGGCACAATTGATGTTGAAATAAAATATGAGAGAATGAGATGAAAATATAAAAGAGTATTGACAGTTCTTTTCATCTTGAATTTTAGTACCCATAGGTAGAGACCATTGCTGATAATACCAATTATCGATGTCATGAACAAAAAAAGGACAACGATTATTTTTGAGGCAGGAGCTGGGAAATGAGTGCTATTTCTTGCTAATGTAGAGACAGTGACCTGGTAATCGGAAGAGTTGATCAGATCCATAATTACTGGTGGGATAAGAAACTGAAAATAAGAACAAAAAAGAAGCAAAAGGAAAGATTAAATATAGAAATTAAAATATCAACAGACAAACTGACAATATATTTTAAATGGCAAATCTAATATTTCTACAATAACACAAATCAGATATTTTCCTTGAGGCCTTTACTTTGTTTTGTATGAAGAATTAAGAGCAAATTAATTTGAGCATCAAAAATGAAAATACTACAAATGATATGAAATTAATGTGAAATGGACATTGACTTTGCTAAGTAATTCATTTAGGTAGCTAAAAATCTGTTTAGACATTAATGAGAAGTCTGATCCTTCTTGATAAGCACAACTTCTTGAATAAGGCAACATAGAATCAGTTTTACTTGACTAAGACTTGGTCAGGGCAAATGTTGCCAATGAAGTTGAATAACAAAAATGACTGCTACAAATTAGTAATCATGGGAAACTATAATTAGATTTTTCCCATGAGCTAATAACCTATATATATAAAAGCCTAATATGCAAATTGTCCCCTCAGGAGTTCAACCAGGAGACCAGGAGTTCAGTCGCTCGCTATGACATGCACTGACCACCAGGGGGCGACTCAGAATGAAGGAAGGCCCTGGTTGGCAGCTGGCAGCTGGAAAAGGGAGGCCCCAGCTGGCAGCTAGAAGGAAGTTCCCGGCTGGCAGCCAGAAGGCCCCGATCGGCCCTGATTGCCGGCCAGGCCTAGGAACCCTACCTGTGCACGAATTTCATGCACCAGGCCTCTAGTATATAATAAATGCTATTATCTAGTACTAGAGGCCCTGTGCAAGAAATTTGTTCATGGGGGATGGGGTGTCCCTCAGTTCGGCCAGCACCATCTCCAATCTGGGACCCCTTGGGGGATGTCCGACTGTGGGATCGGGCCCAAACCGGCAGTCGGACATCCCCCTCACAATTCGGGACCGCTTGCTCCTAACCGCTTGCCTGCCTGCCTGCCTGATCGCCCCTAACCACCTCTGCCTGCCTGCCTAATTGCCCCTAACAGCCTCTGCCTGCCTGCCTGTTCACCCCCTAACCGCTCCCCTGCTGGCCTGATTGTGCCCCTAACTGCTTGCTCCCCTGGCCGGCCTGATCACACCCCTAACTGCTTGCTCCCCCGTGCTGGCCTGATTTTGCCCCTAACTGCTTGCTTCCCTGGCCAGCCTGATCGTGCCCCTAACTGCTTGCTCCCCAATGCCGGCCTGATCGCGCCCCTAACTGCCTGCTCCCCAACACTGGCCTGGTAGCCCTCTAACTGTTTGCTCCCCTGAGCCAACCTGATTGCACCCCTAACTACTTGCTCCCCTGCTGGCCTGATGGCCCCTAACTGCCTCTGCCTTGGCCCCCCTGCCACTGTGGTTTTGTGAGGGAGGAAGTGAGATGTCCAGAAGATGTCCAGTCGATCCGGTCTAATTAGCATATTACCCTTTTATTAGTATAGATTCTAACACTGAGCACAGAACAATAAGAACTATTATTCATATGGGAGCCCCAGGGCACTCTAAGATTATCTGAAGAGTCTTCAGAATCATCAGTGAAACAGGAAAGTGTGTTATAGAATATAATAGTGGTTCTTCCTTAATTGGAGAGGGGAAAGGAAAAGAAGTCAAGTTACTGATATTTATTCAATACTTTTTATATGCCAGGAGCATTTTATGAAAATCATTTATTTTTTTTTCTCCCACAAAGGCAAATATTCAAACAGAGGTGAAAGTGAGGCTTAAAAGGGTTAAATTTCTTATTAATTATCATCTCCTACCATGCTTCCATTGTGGCAGATTGAGAATCCTACTAGTGTTTTGTGCTACTTCTTTGAAAGTTGGTATTTCATGTCTAGTGTTTTGATAATGCCCCATGAATCAGAATATTTGATTATTCAAAATATCGCATTTCTTGAATAATGGTTCCTATGGTATTGAAAATACAAATCTGTGAATATTTGAGAAAATACCTATTATAACGGTCATATCATCAAATTGGTTTTTGATAAATTATATAAGTCAATTGAAATTACTAGTGATGTTTTTTGTTTTTTGTTTACTAAACAAAAACATTCTAAGAGAGAAGAAATAAAGTAATTGTTATTAAAACCACAGCTGCATTAACTTAATTCTGCCATCTGAGGGAGTTGCAAAGTTTTTCTCCAAAGGAGAAAAATTATTCTCTTCAAGGAAAATACCCTAGTAGTGCACTTGGGAAATAAAAAGTGAAGTCTAAGGACCTGGAATGGATCGACAATGGTGAGTGCAAGAGTGGAAACCTGTGAAGGTCCTGGGACCATGAGGAGAGGGAGGAGGAGTGAGGATGGTCTTCAGAGAGGGGAGCACAGGAAAAACACAGCAGGAGGTCAGGAGGCTTGAAGATCACAGGGTCAGTGAGATATTCAGAAGTGCAGAAATTACACAGGGGCTTTAAAATGAGGGGTGTCTAATACTCAATTTTAATCCATTTGCTATGCTTTGACATGGTATAATGTCCCTTCTCATTAGTTACAACTGTCTTATGTTGGTGATTGCTCTGGGGAATAAAAGGAAAAGAGCTATTTGGGATGGAGTGGGATGGCGAGAAGAGACCAGTAGCAGGAGATAAGATGTAAATGAGATGATAAATATAGTGGAAACTGGACATAAATTAGGGTATAGTAGACAAGGAGGAACAAAATCCCATGAAGAATTTCTGACTCTGTGTGTTTGGCGTATGGGTATCTGTGGTCTGTCTGTATACCTGCAGTGTGTTTGTGTGTATGTATGTGGCTATATGCTCTGTGTGTGTGTCTCTGTGATGTATTTGGGATCCATGGAGTATGTGTGGAGCTGTGTGTGTGTGAGATCTGTGCATCTGTGTTGTATTTGTGTATGGTCTCTGTGTGTATGGTCTCTATGTGGTGTTTGTGTTCTGTGTGTATTTATCTGGGTAGTGTGTGTTTGGGTGGTGTTTGTATGTCTGGTGTGTATGTGTGTGGTCTCTGTGTATGTGCATTTGAGAAAACTGGGTATCTGAATTTTAGGGAAGATTTTAAAAATGTGTTGCTGAACACTAGAAGGGCATCTGAAAATAATGTAAAATTTGAACAAAATAAATGTTGGTAGTGGTTGTGAATATCATATAAAGTATCCTAGGAGCTTTCATTTATTATTGTGCATAACCATGAGATTTCATCATCCTTAAACATCTTTTAAAGTGGTTTTTAAGTACTTGAGTATAAATCAGTGGACAGAGCTGGGGCTCTGACATCCCACAGAACTGGGCTTCAATCCTACCTCTACCACTTACCGACTCTGCAACCTTGGATTCTTAACTCTGAGCCTCTTTTACCTTCTAAACCAGCAGTTCTCAACCTTTGGGTCGCGACCCCTTTGGGGGTCGAATGACCCTTTCACAGGGGTCGCCTAAGACCATCGGAAAACACATATATATAATTACATATTGTTTTTGTGATTAATCACTATGCTTTAATTATGTTCAATTTGTAGCAATGAAATTGGGGGTCACCACAACATGAGGAACTGTATTAAAGGGTCGCGGCACTAGGAAGGTTGAGAACCACTGTATCTAAACCATAATGAGCATTTATAAGGACTAAATGAGATAATGCATATGAATCATATAGCTCCCTTCATGGCACATATTCTGCACTCAAAAACTTTTTACCTATTATTTTACTCAACTTGTTATAATAAGGTTAGCAAGAGCCTCATTTTGCCCTTTTAATGCTGCAGGCCACATTTTTTTTTCCCTCCTCAAAGCTTCTCTGCTGAATTCTAGGGTAGCATCAGCTTTATAGTCATTTTGAGGCCTTGCTATTGGGATAGCTTTGGCACAAGTGGCTTTCAGGAAGAACCAACCCCCTCTGCTTGTCGGGGGAGGGCATGCGGATCTCAAGAAGCTGCTCTGGAGTAAGCCTCTATGGTCTATTCAGGTACTAGCACTAGGGTCAACCTGCTGGCCCAGGGAATCGTACCTTGGAGTTATGTCTTCATGTCAGATGGTCTTGGGCAGGCAAAGTGACTCCAAGCCAGCAATCTTCTCTCCAAGGACATAGGAAAAATCAGTGACACTTTGACTTCATCTGCCTTTCCTTCTTGCTAAAGCTACTTCCCAACTTAGAACCTGTTTATTTATTTGGTGAGAACTTCCTGTTTTTTCCAAGTTCCTTTTTCTGTGGAATACTTTCTATGGAGGTGGAGGTAGAGAGATTATTATTTCTTCAAATCATTTCTGCTTTTTAAGGGGGGATTTTAAAAATCCCACAGAGTTCTTCTATTTAAGGCTAATAAGTTTGTCTTGGCTGTAAAAACATTGATTAAAAATTACCTTTTCATATACAGTCATCCCACCAGGTACCCACTCTGCTTCAATTCTAGGGTGTGCATTGACATATGGATGCATGATGTTGGGTACACAGGGAGGTGGTAAATAACAGGCAAGGGAAAATAGAATCTGGACATGAGCCACCTAATTTCTCTCTCATCGATGTTTCTAACTTTCTATCCCTCTCCCTTCCTCTCTGTAAAAAAATCAATAAAATATATTTTTAAAAAATTACCTTTTCATATACAGTCATCCCACCAGGCACCCACTCTGCTTCAGTTCTAGGGTGTGCATTGACATATGGATGCATGATGTTGGGTACACAGGGAGGTGGTAAATAACAGGCAAGGGAAAATAGAATCTGGACATGAGCCACCTAATGGTGCTGGAGAGAAAATGGTCAGAAAGGAAAACTTAAGCACTGATTTCACATCAGAATTGGATGTATGAGGACAGGCCAAAGGTTATTATTATTTCGTTTGGAAAGACAGAGACTGACAGGCAGATCCATGTGCGTTTGTCAGTACAATCGTTGAGAATGGTTGGAAAGAACACAGAGTGTGTTACCATATCCTAGAAGACGGTCTTGTTATAAAAACGTTCTATCGCACAGGTAATACATTTATGTACTGACTGAATCCTACATTTTCTATTTTCCTCTCTGACAGTCA